TTCAAATACACCCGAATGACTGAAGGAACCAAGCACTTTCTTTTTTGCAAAACATAAGGACCGGTGAGTAGGACGAATAATACCAGTAGCCTGTACATTTTCAAACGCACGTTTGGTGAAAGCTCATCTGTCCGGTGCCGATCGGCGACGTGTTGCCGTGATAATAGGTCCGCGGATGATGAATAAGTGGAAATCTCTTTTGACTAACGTATTTGAAAGGTGTTGAGTCGCTCGTGGGATCATAAACAGCTGTCTTTCTTACGCACATTTCTAATGTTTACATAAAATTCATGATTTATATAATCTGTAATGTTAACTGGAATAAAAAGACCTGTCAGATGCTCGAAAACTCAAATGGTAAACTCTCCTTAATATAATAAAGAATGTTTAAAGGAAACAAGCTCATTCTGACTGCTCTCTACCTACACTTATTACTAGTGTGTTAGTTTCATTACCATTACTTCACTGAATGATAAAGTGACCTAAACTTATGAAGTCAAATCTGGTTTATGAGCGAACATATCGTAGTCTTTTGTCTGCTATCAAATGCTACATCCCTCTCAGTGAAGTTGAGCAATAGTCGTGACTTATAATTAATTGATGGTTACACAATGATCCGTATTATTGCCGTTAGGTCTCAAAAAATACAGCCTGTTGTTCTCGAGGTTAGTCTAGTGCGAATTCATTCGATCTGTTTAACAACACAATGAGGAAGACTTTATCTTGTGTCGTGAGCACAGTGATGCGACAGTTGTTCTCACCCTTGCTTACGTTGCCGTTCTTCGGTATTGTGATAAGTTATGCTTCTTGAATACGTTGATTCGTTTGATGACCGATTTATTTTTTTTCAAACAATTTCAAGTTGTGTGCTCTGTCAATTCGGATAAATGTCGGATGATACTCTGCGAATTGAATGTGAACGATTGAATAAAAAGTACATTCATTTGCCTTCATAATGACGTTTGCTGTTGATATGTTATTACTGATATTATTTGTTGTTGGATAATTGTCTTCCAGTTAGTCGAACTTGTACTTCTCTTCTTCAGAAATCATTGATATCTATCCGTTCTTATACTCTCATTAGATAATAACTCATCTTTAAATCTTTGAAAATTTAATTTCTTTAATAATTATTATACTGTCATGAGTGGATAATTGTTAGCTTTTGACTTTGATCAATATGGCCCAACAGAGTTTCACTATGAGACAATCAACAGGCAGTTTGTATTTCAAATCTGCATTCATTACTAAGGACATTATTTTTGTTGGTCATGTCAGAAAATAATAGTTGATCGAATCAATATCTTAATGTGGAGCGTCGAGTAAGGTAGGGATTCAGTTACTGTGTGAAAATGATTTAGAGATGCGTAATTAGTTGATTGATTCCTAGTACGATAAACCTTCAAATTGGCTCTGGCATATATCTTACTTAAATTCGCATGAAAATAACAATGAAGCATTAACGCAGAACCCTATTCTACAAACATTTCAGCTCAAGGTTTAGTTTGACCATTCCGTTTATTCGTCGTTCATTCTTCTCATGTCAATCTCCGTTTCTCATTGTACTGTATTCAATAACCATTGAGAGTTCCCAGTGATGGCTTGTCTTATGGTGGCGTTAGGTGCTTCTGGAAATATCAGGCATCACCAAATCCGGCGTTTGTTGCCGATTTCCTTCTCCACTGTAATATAACTTGTTCCTTTCACACAGTAGGTTATGTTCAAAGTGTCTGACATCAGATTATGAATCATTTTGTGTACATGACTGTTAATCAATACTTGGATCTTTCCGAAAATGTCTGTGATAGATTTTCAAGTTTCCGCCCCATATATTAGACTGTTTTGACATTTGTATCATAAACTATGCCTTTCGTGTTTTCAGACTATTTTTTTCGAGTGTCAGATAACGTTCACATTTTGAAAACTGACATCAGCGTTCACTGTTTACAACCTAACAACTACATGAAATTCACCTTGTTTGTCAATAACGCTGTCTTGACACTTACAAGACCTTAAAACCTCGAAGAAATCTACATCAAGAGTGAACTGTTTGGTAAATGTTTTGTTGTATCGAAGGACCTGACTGGCAACATAATGATTTTGGAGATCATTTGCTGCTGGAGCTGCTTCTGCACTGTTTGTCTTCGTTAGCTTACGTTTTGGAGTATTGATGGAAGAGTCAGTTCATTTGAGAATTCTTGTTAGTGTAGCTATATCCTGATTGTTCACTGTATGTTGTAATTTGTGTATTTATCAGCCAATCGTCAGATAGAGGAAAGACCAGGGATGAGAGTATGTAGCGTTGCGTGAGACATGTCTTCAAATCGAAAATGGCTGTGAGTTCATTTCTGTTAACCGTTTTGAGTTTCAATCGATCAATGGAATTCCGTATAATGTAGAATATCTTCTCAGGTCTGCCGATCAAATAAATAAGGGATTCTGCATAAAATAATTTATTGAATACTGTCGACCAATGAAAACATACCGCAATTCAAAATTCTACTCTTTTACATAAATTTCATCAACAAATTAAAGTTATTTCATCCATATGACACTTGGACAATTCACATATTACTCTAGATTAAAATTCATCTTGATAAACGCATCGGGAAATGATGAATAAAAAAATAATTCAATACGATACAAATTCAAAATCAACCATTAAGGTCAATCGATCTCACCAGTGAAACTGATTGACTTGGCGGATCAACAAATTTGTTGCATGAAATCCTGAGAATGTGGACAAAGAATAAATAATTCAATGATGAATCTTTCTCAGCACTCAATTATTATGATGAATCCGCAACAACATCCATATTCTAATGTGCATGCATTACTGAACAGGAAAAGCAGTTTAACATTAGAGAACGAATCGTTATCAGGTACAATATAATATATTTCCGCAATTCATCACATATAAGCAGCTAGGAGTCATCACCAAAATTTAACTTCATCATTTTAAATAAATTGAGCATCCAGTGCAGAATGAATAATGAAATAAACATACTCGCAATAACCTAATACAGAAAGGAGGAAACACAATTGTGTAGTTCTGGTTGATTAGTGTATTCGCTGATTAAGTAACGTACACTGAATCAAAAAATGCCGAAAATTTCGAAACATTTACATTTTATCACTAATGCAGTGTATCTGGTACAACTGATTAGTAAGTTATGTCGATTTCAAAAGAAAATTATGCACTCATCACTAATACGATCGAAGAATACTCTGATAGGTTGTTACGTCACAGTATTCATGGTGTTATCATGTCAAGTATCGGCTTTTACTTTAATTAGCCTTTGACAAGTTAGTGTTAAATAAAGACAAGTTTGTGATAGATAAACCCATGAATATCACATCAACATTAGGAGCTTACATGAACTGGACAGACGCATTTTTATGTAGCTTTTATATTTTATCTAATATCTTCACTATTATGTCACTTTTGTGAAATCGTTATTAGCTATGATTGATCTTGACACTTTTGATTCCTGTTAGTTGCGTGACTCATATCTCAGGCTAGTTATTTCACTTTGCATATTTGATAATTTTATCTGACTTACCAGCTTGCCTGTATCCAGTAATATTCATTTATAAATTCAGTCAATTCAAGACACTTCTATTCATTATCCATTGCCTCGACTTTGCTTCTGCACAGCTTTGCTTCACTTACTACAGTTTAATTAGTGTTATTAGTGTCAACCTGAATGAATTAAAGTGGAACATGCATTAGGCATCAACAAATAAACAATGTACTCAACAAACAAATTGGAATGGCGGTCATGCTTACATTGGTGATGAAAGTTTGAAATAACTCGAAAGTTTTATTCCTATAATAATTTTTCCGGTTTATCATTGAAAATTTCAGATTCACCATCACAAGTATTGACTATCTGCCAATTCGAATGTTCCTGAAAATCGAAGAAATTATTTAAGATAATTTATGTTCAATGATAATTATCAATGATGTGTAGAAGTATCAATGAATAACAAAAGATTCATAATCATAAATTAATTTTGCGTCTAGCTTCACTATGACGCTAGGACATTCAACAAAATTACCGAATTTTCGGTGAACTCTTATTACTTCATCTGTCAATTTGCGAGTTTTATTGCTTAGTTTTCCCTCTCTCACTTCCAACTAGTGTTCTGTACTATTATTATATACCGAGAACTTTTTCTAACGAGGCAGTGTCTTTGAGGTATGCCGTCAGGTGATGAGTTCCTTTGTCAACAGTGTTGTTGATTTACTGCTTGACGTGTGCGTATTTGTAGAGTCATTTTCGTATATGATGTGACCTGTAGAATTATGAATGTCTCTATGCATCCAATAAGTTATGAAATATGTGCAACTGCAATGAATTATTATCAATTTATATGTATAAGGAGTGCCAAATATCCATAGTGTCATCTTGTACACGCGAGAACAAATGCCTTATATTTCCCGCACATTTGAATGACCTTGATTTGTTCCATTAATCAAATTTCTCCACAATGTTAACTGGTGTCACAATCCAACTGAAAATCCGTCCATTTTTACGGAGTCAAGCAAGTTGACCGATAAGCTGGAAATTAAGAAGAATTTAAATGTTACTTTTACATTACGTAGCTTCAATATTTCTGAGAACGATGTGGTCGATGTCGGCAGATGAATGTTTCTGACAGCAATCAATGTTTACTACATAATACAGTTGCTCAATACCTGTGTATCCGTGTAAGATATAGGACGAAATGGAGTGATTCTATCACAATGTTTGACCAATACGTTACAAATAACTAAATCAATTTTCATTCTTTTATTGGTTGATTTCTACCAACGAATTAGAAATGAGTTTTTAAGTCTTTAATTCATGTAAAACGAACAAGTAGTACAAAACGTGTTTGTGTAATCTGAAAAAATAGATGAAGTTAGCATTATCTCAAAATTTTGATTATAATGCCTACATTGTACAAACTTCTAGAATGATGTTCCTAATAGTTATTCGTTTTGAATTTTTCAGAAGCCCTGTTTCATCGAGACTGCTGATGCAGTATTTGTGTTTAGGTGTACTGCTCCAGAATTTCTCGCATTGTCAAGATGTGTGTAGACAATTTGACGACTTCAAACCTATGAATTATGAAGGCGAAATTTATGAAAATGCTTCATATCGACAAGTAATGTATCATTCAGTAGCTGATTCACATATTCAGTCGGACCATCATTACTACAGGTTGGTGACGCAACGCAGTCAGTATAGATCAGAAGACCTTCCCTCTGTTAAACAAAAACTTCCGGGCAGCGTAAGTTTTCAACATTGATATGGTAAATAAATTTATATTATTAGATAGTCAAGTTTACTTTCCCGATTACATTCTATGGCGAGCAATACGGTTCATTCACAGTAGACGCTTTTGGTAAATTTTATTATCTATTACTCAATGATAGATGTTTCTGTTCACTGATACTGTTTAGTCGAATTTTTAGGGTACACGCATTGCCTCTGGCTTTGTTTATTAACTATAATTCAATTCATTGCAGATTATCAATCAATTTTTTATTTCGAATAATTAAACGCAGGTGCAATCGTTCTTCTGGAACCTCGAAACAGTTTAACTGGCGACAGTAAAATTATCTTACTTCAATTGAAGACTGAATACAAATTGGTTCATTCTTGGGCTATCGGTGGGTAACCCTGATATCATAAGCAGTTTTTCTTCTTTAAAAACACATTTTATGCATATGATACTACTAGTTGGCCTCATTATTAGAACAAAACCTTTCAACTCGAAATAATTTTTTGCCAACTTATACGTTTTGTGTGCAACTTAGGCATTTGTATTTCTGAAGACTGTTTCTCTGAGGTACAAAAATGAATTGTCGACATATCTCGCAACAAAAACACAGAATACAAGCATATAGAATGGTTGTCATGTCTGCATTGAGAGAGAGAAAGATTGCTCACTTATGTTATCATTATGTATAACCTTTTTTCGGTTCACTGAATTTTGTTTATGCGTTAAGTTAACTTGTAGACACGTGAAAACGTGGTTGCAGCGAAATAAGGAGTATTTGTTGATTATAAACATTTAATCACTCTGTCCCGGCAATCGTTACGGTTCATTCATGAAAATCCAGTCGATGTTGTTTCTTTGAAAGCGTATAAGCCATGGTCGGTGATCAGATTACTAAGGCAAGATAAGTCACTATAAACTACCCACACTCAATCTCACCATATTAGTTTATTGAAATGTAGTATAAATTACCGTGCTGTAATCAATAAAATTTTGCACTTATTTACGTAGGTCATGGAATGTGGCTTGTTTCATTCGCGTATGTTTTCTGTAGGTTCACTCGATTCAATCAGGTTTCAAGGAATGAAGACATCCAGACTTATTGATTACTTTCCAATGACTTGTATCATATTGTATACTGTTGGCAAACAACGTTTGTTTAGTAGTAGTGAATATTAGTCACTTAATTGTAGCTTGTGTAAAAATCACCTCTGTGTTAATTTCAAAACAAAAGTATCTCATTGTCATTTAACACTGCCATAGTCAATAATAGTTCGCACATGTTTATGTTCTATCCAAGGACTTTTTGTTTTCCATGTCTGTCTCCTTTTATCAGAGTAATTTTGTTTTTGTCAGCCTAATTTTTAAACACTGAGGGTTTCTGTTGAGGACTTGTATTGTGCCTCTCTGAGTGCTGTTGATGCTTGTTTTATCCTCTTGTAGCGCTTCATCCGGACTATTCCTGTCATAAGGTGATTTAGAGGTAACAAATTCTCGGTTAAGATGGGAAGCTTGAATTATCAAGCGGTGTCAACATGCACTCTCAAAGATTACTTCATGTGATCGCCATTAATTTTACTGTGACTACATAATTATACCTTATTCTTACGTGATTTGTCGTCAGCTAATTTTCTTTTAGTAGCTACAAAACACTTTTGTATTATTACCAAATAATTCTGTTACTCATTTGTACGTTCTCGTTTATTCTAAAATATTTGTATGTTGAGCATTTGTTTTTTCATAGTATTAGGCATGCGCTCATTTCTAGGCATTTTAATTAGGTCACCTAAGCTTAGATTTCTTTTCTTTTAAACTCACTTCTATTATTAGTATGCAAAGAGTTCAGACCCAGCCTGAACATGATAAAAGCGTCGTAGTCATTATTTTCTATTTTATGCTTCTGTGGACGAAATACGAAATTTTATCCAACTCACTTTAACTAATATAAGTGAAAGAGGGGTCACCATGAAAATGTGGTTATATGGTGTTTTATCCCCTAGAAATGTTTTGCCTCATATCATCACAGTCATCTTTAGCTAAAAAAACAGTATGTAGAATAATATCTCTGAATTGAAGAGTGTTTGAGAACTGGATATACACTGAAAGGTTTGTGTATTAGTTGTATGTCTGAATCTTTTGCTGCAGTTGAATCCGTCGACAGATTTCATTTTAACCAACATGGGAATCTTCAGTGCAGTTGTCAGTCATTTCTACGCATTAGAAGATTCATGAATAATAAAATTTCGTGACACTGCATTTGAGAATTGGAAACAGAACTCCAATTCTTTAACTGACGATCCTGTATCCAAAATAATTCGAGCACAACTCCAATGAATTCGCAATATTCCTTGTTAAGTATCGGCTATCATACGTATATAACTGCGGAAAATACACATCACTAGATAATTATAGGTCTGTGGCAATTATCAGAGTGCATGAATAATGAAAAGCACTAAACAAACGAGTCATACAATAAACAAAATCCAGAAGACTCCCATGTTAAAAAGATCAAATTGATTACCATGAAACGTGAAGAAAATAAGAATGAAAAAGAATATACAAATACCTATAACGCACTCACTCTCACTACAACAAATTACAAAGGAACACAACAAATTTATGCAATGTGAAATAATTAAAATCGAATCAACCTATTTATTGATAGCCCAATTTCAACAGATGAAATAATCAATTTATTTGAATGAGTCAATCACTTTACATTGATTGATAAAAAGTATAACAAGAAAAATTAGTATTTCATGAAATCGGAGTTTCATTATTTCAAGGGTTCACGTATTATATTCTTTTGATAAACAATCTTTGTATTACAGTTAAACATAGTTCTAGCTTTCCCCTGCAACTTGAACAAAAGTTACCTATGTGGTAATAAGATAACGAGAAAATCTCATTATAAATTACCGTGCTGTAATCAATAAAATTTTGCACTTATTTACGTAGGTCATGGAATGTGGCTTGTTTCATTCGCGTATGTTTTCTGTAGGTTCACTCGATTCAATCAGGTTTCAAGGAATGAAGACATCCAGACTTATTGATTACTTTCCAATGACTTGTATCATATTGTATACTGTTGGCAAACAACGTTTGTTTAGTAGTAGTGAATATTAGTCACTTAATTGTAGCTTGTGTAAAAATCACCTCTGTGTTAATTTCAAAACAAAAGTATCTCATTGTCATTTAACACTGCCATAGTCAATAATAGTTCGCACATGTTTATGTTCTATCCAAGGACTTTTTGTTTTCCATGTCTGTCTCCTTTTATCAGAGTAATTTTGTTTTTGTCAGCCTAATTTTTAAACACTGAGGGTTTCTGTTGAGGACTTGTATTGTGCCTCTCTGAGTGCTGTTGATGCTTGTTTTATCCACTTGTAGCGCTTCATCCGGACTATTCCTGTCATAAGGTGATTTAGAGGTAACAAATTCTCGGTTAAGATGGGAAGCTTGAATTATCAAGCGGTGTCAACATGCACTCTCAAAGATTACTTCATGTGATCGCCATTAATTTTACTGTGACTACATAATTATACCTTATTCTTACGTGATTTGTCGTCAGCTAATTTTCTTTTAGTAGCTACAAAACACTTTTGTATTATTACCAAATAATTCTGTTACTCATTTGTACGTTCTCGTTTATTCTAAAATATTTGTATGTTGAGCATTTGTTTTTTCATAGTATTAGGCATGCGCTCATTTCTAGGCATTTTAATTAGGTCACCTAAGCTTAGATTTCTTTTCTTTTAAACTCACTTCTATTATTAGTATGCAAAGAGTTCAGACCCAGCCTGAACATGATAAAAGCGTCGTAGTCATTATTTTCTATTTTATGCTTCTGTGGACGAAATACGAAATTTTATCCAACTCACTTTAACTAATATAAGTGAAAGACGGGTCACCATGAAAATGTGGTTATATGGTGTTTTATCCCCTAGAAATGTTTTGCCTCATATCATCACAGTCATCTTTAGCTAAAAAAACAGTATGTAGAATAATATCTCTGAATTGAAGAGTGTTTGAGAACTGGATATACACTGAAAGGTTTGTGTATTAGTTGTATGTCTGAATCTTTTGCTGCAGTTGAATCCGTCGACAGATTTCATTTTAACCAACATGGGAATCTTCAGTGCAGTTGTCAGTCATTTCTACGCATTAGAAGATTCATGAATAATAAAATTTCGTGACACTGCATTTGAGAATTGGAAACAGAACTCCAATTCTTTAACTGACGATCCTGTATCCAAAATAATTCGAGCACAACTCCAATGAATTCGCAATATTCCTTGTTAAGTATCGGCTATCATACGTATATAACTGCGGAAAATACACATCACTAGATAATTATAGGTCTGTGGCAATTATCAGAGTGCATGAATAATGAAAAGCACTAAACAAACGAGTCATACAATAAACAAAATCCAGAAGACTCCCATGTTAAAAAGATCAAATTGATTACCATGAAACGTGAAGAAAATAAGAATGAAAAAGAATATACAAATACCTATAACGCACTCACTCTCACTACAACAAATTACAAAGGAACACAACAAATTTATGCAATGTGAAATAATTAAAATCGAATCAACCTATTTATTGATAGCCCAATTTCAACAGATGAAATAATCAATTTATTTGAATGAGTCAATCACTTTACATTGATTGATAAAAAGTATAACAAGAAAAATTAGTATTTCATGAAATCGGAGTTTCATTATTTCAAGGGTTCACGTATTATATTCTTTTGATAAACAATCTTTGTATTACAGTTAAACATAGTTCTAGCTTTCCCCTGCAACTTGAACAAAAGTTACCTATGTGGTAATAAGATAACGAGAAAATCTCATTATAAATTACCGTGCTGTAATCAATAAAATTTTGCACTTATTTACGTAGGTCATGGAATGTGGCTTGTTTCATTCGCGTATGTTTTCTGTAGGTTCACTCGATTCAATCAGGTTTCAAGGAATGAAGACATCCAGACTTATTGATTACTTTCCAATGACTTGTATCATATTGTATACTGTTGGCAAACAACGTTTGTTTAGTAGTAGTGAATATTAGTCACTTAATTGTAGCTTGTGTAAAAATCACCTCTGTGTTAATTTCAAAACAAAAGTATCTCATTGTCATTTAACACTGCCATAGTCAATAATAGTTCGCACATGTTTATGTTCTATCCAAGGACTTTTTGTTTTCCATGTCTGTCTCCTTTTATCAGAGTAATTTTGTTTTTGTCAGCCTAATTTTTAAACACTGAGGGTTTCTGTTGAGGACTTGTATTGTGCCTCTCTGAGTGCTGTTGATGCTTGTTTTATCCACTTGTAGCGCTTCATCCGGACTATTCCTGTCATAAGGTGATTTAGAGGTAACAAATTCTCG